TTACTGTTTATGCATTGTAATCGTTCTCAAGTCCTGGGCAGATTTATTTACAGCGACTTTCCCTCTCCCCCCCCCACAAAATTAAAATTACTCACATGAAGCTAAGCCCTTCTTGAGAAGCTGCCAATTCTGCAGCTACTCAAGAACTTCCCAGAATTTTATGAAACCCGAAGGTTCATTACCATGTTCACAAAAGCCCTCCAGCGGTCCCTACCCTGACCAGATCAATCCAATCCACACCGTCCCATCCTATAAGATCCATTTTAATATTGTTCACCCACCTATGCCTTGGTCTTCCCAGTGGTCTCCTTCCTTCTGGCTCTCCTAACATTATCCTACACGCATTCTTCTTCTCCCCCATTCGTGCTACATGCCCTGCCACCTCATCCTCCTTGACTTGATCATTCTAATTATACTTGAAGAAGAGTACAAGTTATGAAGCTCCTCATTATGCAGTTTTCTCCAACCTCCTGTCGCTTAATCTCTAAATTAAAACCGCACCTATTCGAAACTCAAGTATCGCTTCTTTTTTCCTTTGTGTGACACTGTAATAACACAGAGGCAGCGGAACTCGAAGGTTAAACGTGGCTAAAAGTCCGCCTTGGACACGATCCTGGGCCAGCTCCAAAGTTGGTAAGAGTGGCAAACAAACATCATGTTATTCTTATCAGCCTGCTTCCTTCCATAAAGAAGGATAAGCACTCGAAGCGAGTTAGGTATTCATCCATGGTTTATTTAACGTCTTCCGTCTAATTCTTGCTTCTTGGCTGTAATGCCTTGTAGAACTTCGAAAGTCAACTGATGTTTCGGAGGCGTATGTCGCCTCCATTTCAGGGTCGAAGAATAATCCAAGCAAGATACCATATCTCTGCTTGATACCTGGATCACAGTGGTCTCTTGCTTGGCTTATTTTTAGACGCTGAAGATAGAGGCGACATATTCCTCCGAAACGTCGGTTTACTTTCAACGTGCTATACGGCGTTACTTTTCATAATCGCAGCTGTGAGAACCTCAAATCCAACAACGTTTTCACGGGTTCCGACTGTGCTTTATAGCGTCGAATGTTAGGATATCAATTGGAAAGGGTGTCCAAGGAAGCGGTCGCCTGGAGGGACTGGGAAAAACAACGAAAACTATCAGTAAGGGTAGACGGTGTCCCAGCCGAAATTCGAACCAGGCATCTCTCAAATGAAAGTCGGGAACGTTACGATTTGGGCTAGTTTGCTCAACCCCGAAGCGTGTTATCTGACCTGAAATGCGCCATGGAATGCATTTCATAATTCAACGTGATTTATTTTCCATCTTATAGGTTATGTGGTTACACAGAAAGAACGAACCGTTTGTCTCAGGTGTCTAGCGGTTTTAGTGTGATATATCGTCCGTACTTCTTACCAGAATGGTTCACAGCTGGAAGAACTTTGGGGAGCAATAACATTAACGACGTGACTGGAAAACGGACCTTTTTTTGTGTTGTGCATAGTTGGCAATACTGAGGTTACAGTAAGAAGGAAAAAGAAAAAGGTAAAATTATTCCTGTGGTTAACTACATAAGCATCACGCCAAAAAGACGTATCGGGGAGACTGGAAGTAGGGCTCCACCATTCTTGGCCTTGGTATTACATGAGTGGTTAGCTTCACGCTCTGTCCGCTTTAACCCCGGGGAAAGAGACGGTACCCGTTGAATAGGAGTCTAGGTGGCCCCAGAGGCGGTCTGGACTTTGTGGAAAAGAGAACAATCTCTTCTCCTATCGGGAATCAAATCACGGCCGTCCAGCTGTAGTGTGTCGCTATACCAACTGAGCTACCGCAGTGTCTGCATTGTTACCGACAGATGAGGATTGTGTGTAACCTTCTCCCCAGTCATCACACTCTCGCTGAATAAACTTTCCAGTCATTACTGCATGATTAAATAGCATATCAATATGTCGGCTACATTGTAAAGTCTGCCTACATAGGACTAGAGGTTTGTCCGAGTAAGGATCCTGTCTCAGTAAAAATCAGGATATTCTCGAAGCTGCGACTGATGTCTCTGCAAGTTAGGGTCAAGGCCGCGCCATAGCTCAAGCGGTTAGTCGCTGGCTTCCCACCACGGCGGCCGGGGTTCGATCCCGGGTCTGGTCAAGTGGGATTTGTGGTGGACAAAGGGGCGCTGGGGCAGGTTTTCTCTGAGTACTTCGGTTTCTCTTGCCAATCTTCATTCCACCAGTTGCTCCACAATCACCCTCACCTATCATCTGGGGCCGCAGTACAAGGGACTTAGTCCCACCCCACTAGCAATAAAAAAAAGTTAGGGTCAAATCTCTCGGCTCAACCACGTAGCTGTAATAAAGCACTGTCGCGAGTTTAATTCGAAACTTAAATCGTTACCTCATTTTAAAATAAGACTCATAGTGTAACATAGATACTGTTAGAGTGGCCAACATCTCGAGTATGGTATCACGTGATCGATGTGTAGTTTGTCTCGTTCCCATTGTTAAACACTATGTTTGCGTGTTTCAGGATGGATGTATAGTATATTTAGCACACATTATAAGCATAAGAAATGTCTTAGTAATTTTTGTCAGAAAACCTGAAGGAGAGGCCACGCATCACGGACGGTAGTATTAATATGCGGTCTATTGAAACGGGATGTGAAGATGTGGTCTGGATTCATCTGACTAAGGAGAGGAACAAGTGGCGAAATTTTGGAGAGAAGGCAATGAAAAAGTTGAACTACTACAATGAGGAGCCGTGTTTTCTACGCGGTCAGTGCCGAGGACGTATAAGAAGACCCCAATACGGCTCGATAATTCAGTCAATCAGAAGAGAACGAGGTTGGTGTGACATGGCCGCCAGCTTGGGAGTGAGTTGTGAGATAGTCGCCGGCCAGTAAGGACGTGAACACGGAAACTGAGGAAGTTACGGCGTTGGAAGCCGCAACCAGGCGACAACCGGCGTAGACACAGCAGACTGAGAAGACTTATTACATGCTGTAGTGAATTGTAGAGTGCGTGAATTAGCGATAGCACTATAGTTACTTGCAGTTACAATTTATAAATGTTCAATAAATCCAATTACTAATCCAAACCTCGTCTATAGTCACACATACACGTGACAATATGTTCTAACAAGCTGAGTGTCATTGTAAGAAGACTCACATATCTTACATATTTGCCTTCAAAACAAAGCATTCCTCAACAAGTTTCTTATCACTGAATTCTTGTAGGTTGAATTATTGTACAAAAAGAATTTTGTTTAACTATCTTACGAGTTAAGTCCTCGCAAGAAAAAGTTCTTATTTAAACAGCGAATTCCAGCAGCCATGTGTGTGTGTATGGAGAGCAACAGAGCCAGTCAGGTTTATTAGTGGTGCAACTGGTTCGGAAGCAAATGCAGTGGGATTCCCAAATTTAGCCTTGAAGCTACAAGGTTTTTGTGAAGATACCTTTACCTTGTAGTAGCAGGTCCTGAGATAATGGAACACGTATTTACTGCTGTTTCCTTCACTCAGGTGCCAAGCACCATAGTGGTCAGAGTACCTGGCTACAGGTCCAGAAGTCCCTGGTTTTATGCCCGGCGCAACCAGATTTACTGAGAAGTATTATGCCTGGAACGGGGTGCACTCAGCCTCGTGAGGATAATTGAGGAGCTACTTGAATGGAAAAGTAGTGGCTCTGGTCTAGAAAACCGAAAATTAATGGTCGTGGGGATTCGTTGCACTGACCACACGACACGCTAACTTTGCCGACAAGCGGCGGTCACTCGGTCGGTATAGTTCGCTTGCGGAGCCACGGAGTTTTTTTCTTACCGACATCCATCAGGACGACTTGGAGAAACGTCACGAAATATACAGATCAGAATATTATATCTTCTGGAGAAGACTGGAACAAGCTGTGTAAGGCGTTCGTCGGCCTCATGAGAAGGAAAAGAAACACTATGAAATGCAGGTACGACGACCTTGGGCTCACTTGTCCAATTAGTTGACTGTTGACACAAAGGTACGCAGCGAAGCCATCAGTTGCACAATCTCTGCAGTCTTTATCAAGGCCCACTTCTGTGCCTTATGGGCAGAGGTGCCGAAGATTCCGCCTTTTGAATGCATTCGCCACGAATAATTGCAGACACGAACATATTAGTAGCTTCGTCATATGTCTGTCCGTCTGCCTGAACGGGTTAGACCATGAAAAGTAATTTGGTTCGATTCCTGGAGGAGGTAAAATATATTTGTCCTCTCCATAGTGCCTATAAGCAGTCTCTGGGACCCATCTATTCTCCTGTACGCTCGTTACCAGAAGTAAAGCTGCCGGAGATGGAAGCTGAACGCTCACTTCCTTCCAGTGCCGAGGTTATGACTGAAAATAATTGTATACCGCCACTCCCACATACGTCTTCATGACTTGTGGCTTAATTAAGCACAGGGTCAGCTTTACCTTTACGTTTTATTATTCTTGTGGTTTTGACTGACCGACGGTTTTTGTTACGCCTACGAATATATCAACAACGCGTAGAAACACAGCTCAAAGTGTGAATATTTTAGAAAGGACAAATGAACAACGATATTTTTTTTAACAAGAACTCAGTGTTAGGACTGTTAATAACGGTATGTATTAAAAGAACCAGGGCTCTCCTACGAAACAATCATAACATTGGCTCCTGATTTTTTAAACGAGTACCCAGTGTTATGAATGTTGAAAACGTCTTGTGTTAGAAGGCTAGCACCGTTTTGGCGATACATTCCTAACACTGGATTCTCCAAAAGTTTATGATGATGGTACATTAATACACATATCGTGTTTCTGGACATTATCCATCGCCTCGTTTTTATTTAAAACACGCCTAACTCTACCCACTGGGCTCCACTGAGTAGATTCCACCTGAAGATGGAAACAGAATCCAGTCTCCGAAATATTTCGTTTTAAATAAAAACAGGACGATGGATAATGTCCAGAAACAATAATTATATTGGGTTCTCTGTTTTAACAAATCACCCTATACCCTGGTGAAATGTCATATGCACTCACCGCGTCCTCGAAGGCCCTGAGCTGCTCCAGAAGGTCTTCCTCCAAGATGCGATGCTTAAGGGTGTCAACCTCGAGGCTGAGTGTGTCGATCTGGGCGCGCAGTGCGACCACCTCGCGGCTGCGGTACAGTTCTAGTACCAGAACGGTGACCCCGACTAGCGCCACGGACACAAGTAGACACGCTGTCACGTAGTTCAAAGAGCGCCTTCGACACACACCTGCGGGCCGAAACAAGAAGGTGTCGCTCGCGCTACCAAATAGTCTTCAGGGACAGAGATATTGCTCAAGCCAGAAATAAGAATAGATGAGGGACTGTGCCTCACACGAACACATATTTGGGCTAAATAGTTTTAAAAAATATGTAGATGCGTGGAAGTAGCAAGTTGAATTTCTCCTAATCAGCCTTCGATTCACGGAAGGGGCAAGAGATAATTCTGTTTCCCATAGCGTCCAGGCCGACTCTGGGGTCCATTCAGCCTCCTGCCCTCTGGGTACCAGCGGCTTTCTCCGAAGAGGTAAACCGGTCGGAGCGTGAATCTTTTCACTAAACTCCGTCTGATGCGAAGTTTAAGAATGCGTGGTGATATTCTTCCACTCCCCACTCGTCTTCACGACGTGTAGCTTAATTAAGCACAGTTATGAGTTCACAGTATTTCACAATCTGAAGCGTCTGATAATTAAACGGTTTCCAGTCTTTGAAAATGATCGACATGCACATGCAGTAAACCGAAAATGTATTCACCAGGTAAGAATATTCCTAAATAATCAAGGGAAATTTACCAAAGACATGTCCCACAATTGAATACTTAGGTAAATAGTTGACCCTTTGCGTTATTAGTCACGTATTTCCAGCTACATAAATTATATTGTATGACCTATCCGATTACAATGGCCGCGCGGTCTAAGGCATGAACTGTGTTAGGTTGGGTATCGATTGCGCGCAGCTGTTCTTGAGCGGTAGACTCGTTTGTTTATGTCCCGTGTTCGTATCCAGCATCGTAGCGCGGCAGCCGCGTGCCGCTGTTGATCGACGCTGTTCCTCAGTTCTCAGACTGTCTCAACTGAAAGAGCACAGCACACCGAAATCCCTTTGCCGCGGGACAAAGAACCGTTCCGATTTGGCTCGACACGCAGCAGTGTTCGTTCTGTCGTGCGCGGCAACATGGTATTGACTTTGCTAGGCAAAGCAACGAACATTGCCTTGCGCGGCAGCCGCGCGCAATCGATACCCGGCTTTAGCCCTCTCAAACACTGAGATCGTGGGTTCGAATCCCACTCGAGGCATAGATGACTTTGTCCGTTTATTCCGTCCATGGAGTCATATAGACTGTGTATAGGATTAAGAAACTGAAAAGCCGCCAAGGCTCAACAAAAGGCTCTAGAGCCATAGATAGATTAATGGCCTAGAACGGTTACATGGTTCTAAATGATGGAACGGAAACGACGTGGACTGAAACAGGCATAAAGATAAGGCAAAATTGTTCCTGTGCTTAACTAATTAAGCACTACGACATGAAGGCGTGTGTGGGAGTGGATGCATAGATCCACATTTTCTTGACCTCGGCACTAGTTGGAGGTGAGTGGTCAGCTTCATGCCACAGCCGCTTTGCCCCCAAGGAAAGATCCCCCGGTACCCATTGGATAGGAGGTTTGGTGGACCCCAGAGGCGGTCTGGACGACGTGGGGAAGTGAAAATTCTTGGTCCTACCGGGACTCGAACTACGACTCCTCCGTCCTTCAGCCCGTAGCCAGTCGCTATATCGACTGAGCTACGGCCTATTTTAAGGCAAAACCAAACATTAGTCCAGAGAGGAGGATAGCCACTAAATAATTCAGTCAAGATGGTGAACATTCTAGAATTTTTCTCTGATACTCCTGAAGAACATACAGCGTTCCATTTTTGACGCGTCTGAAGAAACAAACTCCACTGATAAAATAAAAGGGTGTTATTATCAAAATAAGTTCATACTTATACACATTAATGCGTTTATTAAGCACTGCGCCATAAAAGTGTATGGGGAATCCGGAGTGTAGAACCATACATTCGCAACCATAGGAATGGATGGAGAAGGGTACTCATCTTCATCCCCCGGCCGCTTCGCCAGTGGGGGGAGAGCCCCCGGTACCTGTCGAAGTGGAGGCTGGAAGTGCCGCAGAGCCGGGCTAGATGCTGTGGAGAAGGGAAAAATCTCATGTCCCTGCTGGTAATCGAACCCCATTTCATCGGCTATCGAGTCTGCAGCCCGTCGTTACAATGACTGAGCTATCCCGGCTCCAATACATACATTTACACAACGCATCTTTGCCGGTACACTCCTGCTCGGTTTTATCCTCAAGGTCGAAAGATACACTGCACCGACAGAGGCGAGACGTTTTGACTCTGCCATGTTCGCCGGTACGCATCAGTTGTTTGCTGGTATGCCTGTCGAAGTGTATCGACTGGAAAAACATTGTCTCTCTACATCTAAGTCTCCATCTGTTGGTCACGCTTATCTCGGAACATGAGAGTAATAGCGAATAAGAGGAAATACAAAAGTTTTTCGTTTTACAAAGAAAATCCGGAAATATATTAATACTTCTGTTACCTCAAGTTTCTTTCCCCATTCTTTCCCCCCACGAGAAAAGCATTCGAGTCTTGGAGACATTGACACTTGTCAGATAAGCAACCATTTAATCAGCTAACTTCATAGTAGATCTGAGTCCTTGGGAAGCCGCTGGCCGCCCAGCCTACTCAAGAATTTCACAAAATCTTATGTAACCCAAATATTCATTACCGTTTTCACAAGGGCCCTCCATTGGTCCCTATCCTGAGTGAAATTTATCCAGTTCATACCACTCCATCTTAGTTCTCCTAAGGTCCATCTTAATATTATCCTCCCATCTATATCTAGGTCTTCCTAGTCGTCTCCCCTTGTTTTGATGCAATTAATGAAGCTCCTCATTATGCAATATTCCCCAAACTCTTGTTATTTCATAACTCTTCGGTTCAGATATTTTCAGCATTCTGTTCTCAGATACCTTCAGTCTATGTTCTTTCCTTTATGATAGAGACCAAGTTCCACACTCGTACAGAACTACAAAGCAGCCAATTAGCTTCACGTAATTTGAAAAACTCTGCAAGGTGGAAATACAGTCTTGAAAAACAGACTTGTATTTCTTAACATTGCAATTTGGATTACTTCATTTCCTTCCTCAAAGGTGAAGGTGAGAGCAATGCTAGAATGATGCAGAGAACATAAGGACATAAATTATCATTTGTTCGAAGGAAAGGAAAGGAGAAATTATCAAGTGTCAGTGGTCCTTTAAGGATTCCGCTTCAGATTTCCGCCGAAATAGAGAGCATAATGACAAATTACGATCCTTACGGTAAACATAAGGCAAAGCTATCCCTGAAACAGACCGTGAAGGCCCATAGGGTTGTGAGACGTCGAGGCTCCCACATTTTCTAGACAATCGGCTCACAGATGTCGGTGAAGTAGTCGGAGGCGCCGGCCGCCCTGTACCCCCAGGAAGATTCCTGGTACTCATTTCTGCTTGAGGCGGAGTCGACCCCTGGGCCATAGTGCCTGCTGGCCCTACTGGCTTTCACGGTCTGTTACAGGGATAGTTTTAACCTTCATTTGTTCATTATTCGTGGCTCTCCATATTCAGTCATGGAAAACTTCTTCTTTTTCTTCTCCGGCCGCTACGGCCCATGACGAACCTTGGCCTCTTTCACGTTTGCTCGCCATTGGTCCAGAGGCTGTGACTTTCGTCTCCCTTTAGGTTTTCGGTCAGGCCGCAATCTTTAAAAGCTTCTCAACAATTAAGGCTTTTTGCGGTGCGGGGTTTTCAACCTCACGACCAGCCCCCAACCTGGAGGTACAGAGTATCTGATCTTATCTGTACTGTCACTCACTAACTCGTGGACCTGAGTCCTTCTTGAGAAGCCACTCAAGAACTTTCCGGCATTTTATGAAACCCGAAGGTTCATTAACGTGTTCACAAGAGACCTCCACTGGTCCCTATCCCGAGCCACATCAATCCAATCCATACCATACCATTTTAATATTGTCCACCCACCTATGTCTTGGTCTTCCCAGTGGTCTCTTTACATCTGACTTTCCCACCAATATCCTCTATGCATTCCTCTTCCCCATTCGTGCTTCATGCCCTGCCCATCTCATCCTCCTTGACTTGATCGTTCTAATTATACTTGGAGAAGTAGTCACTATAGGGTTCTGACGATGGTGTATAACACACAGAGATATTGGGTTTTCGGACTTTATCCATCGTCCTGGTTCCTTTTAAGATAACTAAGACGACGTTTCGAAAACTGGATCTGTTTCCGAAACCAGGACGATGGATAAAGTCCGAAAACCCAATATCTCTGTGTGGATTCTTGGAGAAGCGTACAAATTATGAAGCTCCTCATCATGCAGTTTTCTCCAACCTCCTGTCACTTCATCTCTGTTCGGTCCAACTATTCTCAGCACCCTGTCCTCAAACACCCTCAGTCTATGTTCGTCCCTTAATGTCAGAGACCAAGTTTCACACCCATACAGAACCACAGGCAAAATTATAGTTTTGTACACTACTCAGTGTAATAATTGACTACGTTCTGAGGCTCGAAGCGATGCAGGAACGTGGGTGAACCGTTCTGCGTGGAAAGAAATCATCATTCTTCAGTTCTGTGTCCTCCAGCTTACCACATCCGTTTACTCATGATATCGTATGTATGTTGTTTTTCTAGCGTACCCTCGATGTGACTGAACTTTGTATTGTTTCCGTTAAACGAGCGAAAGATGGACCGAATTCCGATTAAGTAATTTTCCTCGTGATTCACATTGACAGATTTTTAACATAATCAGTCAGGCCGAACCTAATAATGAACAAGTTAATGCAATATACACGTAGTTTNATATCATGAAAGTCTTACTTTATTGTGAATAATAACTAATTCATGGCTTTATGCCCAACAGTTGGATGAAAATTACTTACAAGTAACATATAAGCTGAAAGCAGTCTTCTGGGATTTGGCGCCGTGTATATGTGGTGTTAACCGACGTTTCGGAGGAACGTATCGCCTCCATCTTCAGGGTAGAAGAAAAAATATAAGAAATCTGCAAAGCGAAGAGACCGTGAGAACCGGTTCTCCGAAACGTCGGTTAACACCACATATACACGGCGCCAAATCCCAGAAGACTGCTTTCAGCTTATATGTTACTTGTAAGTAATTTTCATCCAACTGTTGGGCATAAAGCCATGAATTAGTTATTATTCACAATAAAGTAAGACTTTCATGATATTTTCTTGTGAGGTTTGTGGAAAAACCACGAAAATCTATCACCACATCCTACCATAGAATTCAGTTCAGTAACATTCGAAATATCTCAGTATAATCTCACTTGATACCGGGAATGTTATCCGCGTGTCTTCATAGGATTCAGCACTTCCTTAGATAAAAGAAAGCCATGCCGTTTTAACTGGGTTTTAAACTTCGTATAACATTCATACCTCTCGTCTGAAGATAAGACTTAATTCATACCCAACACAAGACCGATAGTCACGCCTATTGTTAGTTACTTAAAAAATCTTATGCGGGTAAATATTCACCTTGCTCGGATAGAGCAGTCGCTATAGCTACTGCCAACGGGCTGAACGACTGAGGGGTCAGAGTTCGAATCCCGGTAGGGTCAAGAATTTTCTCTTCTCCACAGAGTCCACACCAGGAGCCGGGATAGTGCAGTCGGTATTAGTTACTGTCTACGGGCTGAACGATCGAGGGGTCGCAGTTCGAGTCCTGGTAGGGTCAAGAATTTTCCTCTTCTCCACAGCGTCCAGATCAGCTCTGGGTTCCACCCAACCTCCTATGCAATGGGTACCGAGGGCTGTTTCCCCGAGTATAAAGCGGCCGGGGCGTGAAGCTGACCACTCACCTCCAACTAGTGCCGAGCTCAAGAAAACGTGGATCTATACATCCACTCCTCCAAACGCTTTCATGGCGTAGTACTTTTTTACTTTTTTACTCACCTTGCTCCATAGAGTTGACCGACGTCCTGGCATCGGCGTCGTCGCTTGGCGAAGCGAAGTTCAGGAAAGCCCTTGTTTCTTCTTCACCGGTTTTGGTTTTGTTCGTTAGCAATACGTGATCACCCATCGCGCTGTCGGCACTCTTCCCAAGTAATACACTCATTGTTCCCCTGTTCACAGATGTCACTACGAAACCACTGGTTTCTGTACTAATCCCGGTACGCAAGCTGACCAGTTTCAGCTACATATATCTCAGTTGAAGAGTTGCTTGTATCTGTTTATGGCCAAATAATACGTGAGCAGTCCCCTAATGAATGTTATCTGAAACAGCCGTTAATACTTAGCTTCCAGTTTTACAAGTTGTGTGATTTATATCAAGATTTTATGAATAAAGTAACATTCTTCGTAATGAAGGCTTACGTTCAGAATATGCATGATAAACCGTGTACTTCCATGCGTGACTCGACTGTCTTTTAAAAATCGTTCTGTGTCAAAACACGGTAATAATTTCACTCAGTTTCACACTTTTTTACCTCCCGCTGTTATATCACGTCCACTGTTTCACCTTGGTGCACTTCTGCAGTATTTACAGGAAACCGCTGTGTCGTTCATTTTACTAGGCTGAAAGTTACAGATAAAATCTTAACACGACGTCACTTTCGATTGATAACACGTTACCTAGTTCTTTTTCATATGTCTGTATCGTTTTGAGTTAGGTTAAAAATTGTTATTTCACAGAAACGATAGTTCGTAAGTTAGATTTCGTGAGTTTAACTATAAAATTGTTGAATCGTTCAGAAATTATACGTAATACAAATTATTGAGAGAGGTATACAGACAACTGCGTATTTCTGACGTGTGATTTAAGTATGTTAAGATTAATTTGGGATGCTGAAAATATATTAATAGCTGTAAAAAATACCGACGAATATTTTTTGTATTTATTTGTGTCGCGTGTCGTGTGTGGAGAGAAAGGCTTTGTCCGGCGTATGTTCACCATGCACACAGACCAGGGCAAGACTGCTTGAAGCCTGTCCCGCGATCCAACATTTGTAATCACGTTAGCTCAGTAGCCGGCCGCGCGAGGCGCTCGCATCTCGGCATATGACAGCAAACAGCACATTCCTCTAAGTTGCACCTCATAAATCTACTGCTCCAGGAGCAACAAGGGCGCTGTCAATATACCTGTGATGCAGGTGGAAGACTGTGGGGAAATTGTATTGTTCAGATCTGAAGAACTGAACACATGCGGTATATAAAATTTTGAGCAACCAAACCCTTTCGCTAGAAGAATAGATATCGCATCACAACATGTGACCGATATGTTTCGCGCCTCTCTTGTATTTCTTGTTTCACTTTGAATCGTGCCTAGCCTTAGCACTTGTCCGGTTCGTTGAATTTTCACCCTTGCTCATCCTGCTGAAGGCTGCACCGGTTTCGTACTTTGTTGTAAATAAAAATAATTTAAAATATTACATTCTCTGTTACGTCTACTTCTCAAGTTGGTTATTCAGCCTTACTGTCCGTATCAAGACTGTGTAGAATGGATTCTCTCTGTTATACTCGCTAGCGCAATGCATGTAACAATAATGACGTTCACAGTGGCCGGCCGCGTGGTCTGAGGCATGAACTGTCTTCGCTCGCTCAAATGCTGCGACCGTGGGTTCGAATCCCACTCAAGGCATGAATGTCTGTGTGCGTTTATTCCGTGTTTGTGTTGTTCTGTGTGTAGGTAGCGGCCTTGCAACCGGCTAATCCCCCGTTCAAGCAGTTATACTGACTATATAGGATTAAGAAACAGGAAAAGTGGACAATATCCTACAAATGGCTGTAGATCCATAGATAGACAGACAGACAGATAGATAGATAGATAGATAGATAGATAGATAGATAGATAGATAGATAGATGCAACAGTGGTTATCGGTATCTTGAGATCTGTACTTAAGGCATGTAAGGTAGCGTAATTGGTTGAGGCATTATGTTACAAGCCGGAAGGTCGAGGTTCAAGCCCCGATGAGGTCATTGGACTTTTTTCAATTGACCTAATCCTTCTAGGAGCAATGTGGCCCTGGGGTCGACCCAGCCTCTGACAAAAATGAGTACCAGGAATTAATTAAATAATTTTCCTGGAAAGTAGAGCGCGGCCGGTGCATAATTTTAATTTTAACAACCTTTAATTAAATTAGCTTACTTTCCACCGCGGCGGCCGGAGTTTGATCTTAGGTTAGGTTGCGTGGGAATTTTTGTGGACATTGCAGCAGTGGGGCAAGATTTCTCTCAGTACTCCAGTTATCATTCCACCGAATGCCTCATACCCATCTCTCAGTCGGGGCTGGTGCAATGGACCCGCTAACGGCCGGCGTACCAATGGACTCAGTCTCACCCCACCTCGCAAATTAAAAAACATTAATCTAATAATTCCATGTAGTACCGAGACCTTCAGAAATTATAGTCGCTGAACTAGTCAAGAATATTCTCGCCTTCTATAGGAACCAAATGCTCGTTACCTTGGTCACAAGACTCCGATCTTTGAACTTATCCTGAGCCATTTGAATATAGTAATCCTATTTTAATGTACTTCGTTCAAAATAGTTTGCCAGATTTCGAGATCCCATATTAGATGTCATAATTCACTAGCGTAGGCCCTGGTACGTCCTACGCCGTCAGTGTCTTGTTAGCATTGATGCATGTTTGCTGATTACTGTAACTAACTCCATGGAGCTTAGCCCTTCTTGAGAAACCTCCAGTTACTCAGCTACTGAACAAATTCCCAACATTCTATGGAACCCGAACGTTTATTACCGTGTTCACAAGAGCCCTCCGCCGGTCCCTATCCTGGATAAGACCAATCAGTCCATACCTGACCATCCTATCTTTCTGAGGTCCATCCTAATACCGTATTTACGCATGTATAGGCCGCACATTTTTTGCCAAAAATTCAAGAGGAAAACTGGGGTGCGGCTTATATTCGAAATATTCGAAATCACACTTCATTTAAAAAAAATTATATTCATAATTAGTAATACAGGGTGTAATACTCCTGAAATAATATTCCAAGAAAATTATTTTTTCTATAATTTCTGTCTGAAAATTGTGCTGCGGCCTATACACGCACGCGGCCTATACATGCGTAAATACGGTAATAATAATAATAATAATAATAATAATATATGCGTGTGTATGTATATATATTTGCGTGTTTAATAATTAATGAATGTAAAAATACAACGATCTCAAACAGTTATGGAGGAACACAAATGAGGAAGAAATTAAAATGGAAATGAAAAGATCAAAAGAGAAAAAGGTTGAACACACGCTGAAGAAGGGAAGAGGGTGGATGGAAAGAGACTGAGTGCACTGGAATTCTGCAGGGGTTAGAGCTAGAGGAGGGCCAATAAGAAATTGGCATCAAGAATAATATTCCAAAACAGCGGTTTTGCCAAGTACCCGCGAGACGTTGTAGAGAAGAATAATTATACAAAATAAAATACGTATGTGCATAATATTTTTAAATTTACATTTGTAACAAAATATCATCTTTACGTTTTACGATATTTTTCATTTTTATACAAAGAATGACGTTTAATAATAGAAGTACGAGGGAAAGTCAGTAAATATGTCACAAATTGATGTAGAACGTAAAAGATGTGATATTGGAACCTGGAAAAGACATTTGTTTCTCGACGTATCCTCCACTAACATTGATACACGCGTCCTATCTCTTTACCAGTGCGTCAAAACCTGCAGCATAGAAGTCTATTGTCTCAGCCATTTCCGCATCTCCGTTTCAACCTCTTCGTCATCAGCGAATCCTTTGTCACGCAGTTGTGAACTGCTTTACGTTACAAACATTTCCCGCTGTAAACAGGAAACATTTCTTTATGGCTATTCTTTGCACTGANCCCCCCCCCCCCCCAAATAAAAACGCACAACAGAACGTTGCTCTTCGGTAGGATACCCCTCAAGCACAGTCGCCATTTTTACTACTAAAACCAGCCTTTTAACTTGCACATACGCATCTGCTAGCTGGTCCGTCATGCATGAGGGGTTTTGGTGGGGAAACCTCTTGAAAACATCCAGCTGGAAGACAGAGTTAGTTATGGAAGAATGATATTAAGACCGACTTTCGGGGTTCGGTTGTGAGGATGGAAAAATGAATGAAACTGGTTGAGGATTGTGTCCAGTGGCGAACTTTGGTGTTAAGGTGCTGAACCTTTGAATAATCTTGCGTAGTGCTAGGACCTTTTTAATGCATATTAACAAGTGTTAAATATTAGAAATGGCCACAGTTCAGGTTGTCGCATGTTAAACTGTAACCATAAGTTCTGTCATGTTGTGTATAAATTCACTCTACTTTTCCCCCGGGGAAAGAGTCCCGATCCCCATTGAATAGGAGGTTGGGTGGACCCCAGAGCCGGTCTGGACGAAATGGAAAAGAGAAAACTCTTGGCCCTACCGGGACTCGAACTCCGACGGTCGTCCAGCCCGCAGCCAGTCGCCATACACACTAGTGCTCTTAGTTTGTTATTAGACGTTTCCTTGTAACAGCTTCTAACATCGGAGATTCTTCACCTTCATCGCTCACATCCTCTCTGAACAGCGGCTCTCTTCCAACTGAGCACTCTTGCAACTCCAACTAAGTCATCTTTTCACGGAATCTCAACTCACTCAGCTCTCGTTTAAAACCCCTCGGCACGGACCACATACAAATAAACAGCTCTTCAGTTTTTGTTTGCATGTCCGTTTTGGCGCGGGAACGTGTTTACCGAGCCGTTCAGTATCGGCGTTCGTCTATTCATGCTTATTAAAAATCCGTTATATAACAGCGAATGTTGTTTCACCCCGAGGTCGCTACCCAACAACGGCTCTGTACGCTACAATATACTTGATAGGAATCATAAACTGTTTAACTACATGGAACAGAGTACTTCTTGAGAAGGCAACAGCCGCTCAGGCACTCAAGAAATATTTACTTCGTGTGGAATCCGATGGTTCACTGTTGTGTTCACTGGACCTTGACACGAAGGAGGTAGTCCACACCCTCCCATCCAGCTTTTCTAATTCTTTCCTTTTATAACCCGGTCTGAAAATTCTCTTCGTTAATGTAATACAAATTATTACGAGGCATGGCATGAATATTGAAAACACATGTTCACAATCCCCTGTTATTAATCCCTCGTTCACGATTGTCATCTGTTCATAATAATCAGGGTATCCTGTCGACTTTCCCTATAGATGTCACTCGAATGCAGAGAAAGTTTAGCTCTAACTGAGAGAACTTTTTTTTTTTTCATGTCACTACAGCCCCAGTGGTCCTAGGCCTACCTCCATGAACTTCTCCGTTCACTTCGGTTTTTCTAGATCTTACACATTCGATAGGACTCCTTGGGCGGCTGATCAGCTCGTCGCAAGGCCTCTACCTGTACACAAACACAGAAAAACGCACACACACACAAACTAAACATCCATGCCCTGAGTGGGATTCGAACCCACGATCCCGGTTTCCAAGCGAGCAAAGACAGTACATGCTTTAGACCGCTCGGCTACCGTGACCGGCTGAGAGAACTTTACACAATCGAAATGAGATAGATATAAGTAACATGTTTGTTCTGTTTCCAGTTTCAAGTTAATTCTGCAGCCCATTTTCACCGTTTTTTAATGTATTCTATAGGGATTCAACATGCAACTTTACCGTAAACAAATATTTCATTCGATTCTGAAGAGGCATTGAAGATATTCTGAAGGTCGCGCCATAGCTCAAGCGGTTAGTCGCTGGCTTCCCACCGCGGCGGCCTGGGTTCGATCCCGTGTCTGGTCAAGTGGGATTTGTGGTGGACAAAGTGGCGCTGGGGCAGGTTTTCTTCGAATACTTCGGTTTCCCCTGCCAATCTTCATTCCACCAATTGCTCCACAATCACCCTCACCTATCATCTGGGGCTGGTACAATAGGCCAGAAGTGGCCGCAGTACAAGGGACTTAGTCTCACCCCACTAGCATTAAAAAAGAAAATAAG